TTGACAGAACAGAACAGATTCTTCTTTTAAGTTTTCGTTGATTTTCCATCTCTTTTCGTTAAACATTCTTGTCTGAAGCGGCAAGATTCGTTGACGACAAAATTACCAATTTCTCTCGCCGATGCCCCTGCTATACATGAGTGATCAAGATTCTTTTAACGATTACAAGACAAGATTATGGCAGGAAAAAATGAGATAAGAATCTTGCAAGAAATCACTTTCTTGTGAATACAGAGAAAAATCCGTCTGGCGATTCTGCATACATTTCCCATATGTGTCCGATATGTAAAATATAAATTTCCGTCCATTTTGTTCTAATAGAATAGTATAGTGCATAAGAATAAGAACAACTACAATAAGAATAGTCTTTCTCTCCATTGTAAAGCAAATTTCAGCTGATCATACTGAAAGAAAAAACGTTCTCTCTCCACCAAATGTATAAAAGCAGACAGACTAACTGTGATTTCGTTCATCAGTCGTACATAAGTATTCGAAAGTTATTGATTTCTACATTTATATTAACAAAATGTAAGTAAACGCTAACGGACCTTCTGCGGTCTCTAACAGAGCCACCATTTTTGTTTTTAGAATGAATAATTCTTATCGTCTCTATTTATTATGTTCATTTCTTATTACAATTGGTTTATTCATCGGAAAACATGATTGTTCTTTTATAGATCATAGTGAGTATAGATACAATTATAATCAAGGTCAAGATTAATTTCTACATTCGAAATTTAGAACAGCTTTAAATGCCCAATAGATAGAAACTGGCTGTTATGCACTTTAACTGAGTGATTGTCTTTTGAGCACCTTTAAATAATGACAAGAAAAATTTATTAATAATTAAAACATGATTAACAATAGCTTAAAATCGTGAGAAATAGTGAAGCTTTTTTTTCTCATTATACATTCATTTGATGGTTTGCATTATTATTATTTTAAAAACTATTCTCGATTAGAAGATAGTTAGGATAAAGTTATTCAAACACTTCTGACTTTCTGACAATTTTTGGTTTAAGTCGAACCGACCAAAGAAGTCTAAGTTGAGAACCTGCGTTGTATGCACCTGAGTATGTGATTTTCTCTAGCTGGAGTAATTCATTTCTGAGAAACTGGCTCTTATGCACTTTAATTGCGCATTTGTCTTTTGGGTAGTTTTAAAAAATGGGTGAAAAAAGTGATTAATAATTAAAAAATGATTGAGAGTAACTTAAAATCGTAGGAAACAGTGAAGCTTCTTTTTCTCATACATTGGTTTGACCGTTTGAATTAGTAAAATTTTGTAGTTTCTACTCTTTTATAATTTAGGTGCTCGTTGTTATGGTAAATCATTCTATGGTAAGGGGGGTGACGGACGTGCAAGTTTTAATTTTTTTTGGTATGATAAATTTGAACGTGATTGCAAACCATTCGTCTATGGTGGTGTTGGTTTATCATATGAAACAGATAATGTATTTACTACAAAAGAAGAATGTTACCAAGCATGTAAAGAATAAAGTTTTATCTCTTACGCCGCTCAAGTTTGTAACAAATGTATTAATTTTAGGTAAACTGGTGATCGGTGGGAAAGAAAACGGTAGGTTTGTGTTAATATGTTCACAAAGAATTTCACATAGGCATAGAAGGGTCTTTTGTCGAGAATAAAGTGCATTTTACTGTCTTTCAAATGGTAGTTGTGTATCGATTAAGACATGTGTTTCGGTCGTAGACGCATAGGCAGTAATTATTTTGAAGCAATTGAATAACTGAAAAATAAGTCCAATAATCAAAACCTGTTTTTATTTTATCCATGGCCCTAAAGCGTTTTTTATCAATTTGCACTCCGTCAAGATGTTTTTCAACCGCCCCTCTCTTCTATCTACGACAGTGGCGGTGAATTGATCCGCTTGCGGCAGCATAGGGATCTTTTTATTCAATTGTTCAAGGGAAAATTTTTGTCAATCAGTCAAAAGATGGAGCCGATTTTTTCTTGCTGTAACTTAGATTGCTGCTGCATTTGATTTATTAAAAGCGTATGTTATAAGGCTGGAACTTTTCATTTTTTCTATGTAATTAAGGAGAATACACGAAATTTCCATTATCGGATTATGAATTACAAAAATATATTGGACGACATATTAGTTACGTTCGAAATGAATTAGAACGCTTTGGTATGCAAGTGTCTCTTTTCCAATATACAATTGTTTTCTGATTTTCTATTTTTCTCTAGGTTACCTGGTTCATGTTGTTCGTACAGGTCGTTTTGCTACCGGTGAAATACCAGTTTCAATTCCAGGCGAATCTGTACGACTACGTGCAATTGTTACGTACGATGGTAGGGATGACCGAGTTACAAACATTGTACAACGTGAATATTAAATTAATATTTCAAAATTAATTATTTTATATACTGTGTCTCACAGAATATAATCAATAGATGGGAAAGTGTCGCACTTGTGTTGTCAATTCATTTAATAAATGTAGTTACAAATTAGTTTGAAATTTATTGTAATTAGTTGTGGTTGAAAAATAAATATTTACTTTACTATGTGTTTTGAAAAGCAGCGAGCGGAGATGTATATCGAATAGTGTGCACAGTAATAGGAAAAATTACATTATTCGGAAGACAACACAAGTATAGGGCTGATTCACTCTATACATTAACTAAAGTGGCAATTATTTCATTTGTTATCGTTGTTAACGGATAACATGAACATTCTTTGATGACATGCCGATTTGGAAGCAGTATGAGAAGGTCAAAAACATGGACAACCCTGTTTCCAACAGTGTGGTCATTCAAGAAAGGGAAAAGACGACTGAAGGAATCCTTTTTGAAATTTTTCTCAATCGGTCAAAACATAGAGCCGATTTTTCCTTGCTATAACTTGGATTGCTGCTGCATTTCTTGATTTATTAAGAGCGTATGCCATTTCACCGTTTCACTATTCCGCTGTTTAGCTAATCCGGTATTTCTTCATTCCGCTATCTCACTGTTTCACTATTCCACTATTTCGGTCTATCACCGTTTCAGTATTCCGCCATCTTACTAATTACCTATTCCGCTAAATCAAGACTGGTGTCCACTTCCACAGTTTCGTGCAAATTCCAGAATCCCAGGAGAAGTCAACGCCAACGAGCAACCACCGACATCATACCCAATGCTGCTATGACTAGCGCACTTCAACCATAACTCAACCAGCATCCACTATATTATCTTTCACACTGAGATGCTCTCTATGAACTGGCAGATTCTGCTCAACTGGTGTGATTCTGACAGAATCTGGTGCAATTCCACCAAAACTCAACCAGAATTCACAATATTCTCTTTCACACTCAGAGGGTCTCTAAGAATTGGCAGCTCCTGCTCAATTCCACTGTGATTCTGACAGAACCTGGAGCAATTCGATCAGAGACTGGTTGACTTGTGGTACAATTGCACCAGATTCTGCCACAATCACAGCAGAATTGAGGAGAATTTGCCAGGTCGTAGAGAGTGTGAAAGAGCATGTAGTTAATTCTGCTTTACTTCTGGTAGAATTCCACCAGATTCCGCCAGAATCATAGCAGAATTGAGCAGAACCTGCCAATTCCTAGAGATCATCCGCGTTTGGAAGAGAATATAGTGGATTCTGGTTGACTTCAGGCAGAATTGCACCAGATTCTGCCAGAATCAGAGCAGAATCTGCCAATTCGTGAAGACAATCTGAGTCTGAAAGAGAATATAGTGGATTCTCGATGAGTTCTGGCAGAACTGCAAAAGATTCCGCCAGAATTATAGCAGAATTAAGCTAAATCTGCCAAATTCGATGACGGCATCTGAGTGTGAAGGACGATTTGGTAGATTCTGGATCAGATCTGATAGAATTGTACCACATTCTGCCGGAAACACAGCAGAATTGAGCAGAATCTGGAAATTCTTAAAGACCATCTGAATGTGAAAGAGAATATACTGGGGTCTGGTTCAGTTCTGGTAGAATCCTGTCAGAATCGCAGCAGAATTGAGCGGGATCTAGAGCCCATCGGGCCCATGATTTTTGGACCTGGATCCGTTGATAAAAATTTATTCAAACCCGGACCGGACCCGGACCTAGTTGATTAAATTTTTTTTGGACCCGGATCCGCTCAAACAAAATTCTCGGATTCGAACCCAATAATTAATTCTTTGTGATTCGCCCGAATCACTCATTTGAGATCTATAATGCAAAATTCTAGTTCGGATTTGATAATCGATCCAAAGATAGGATATCCTTTTTTTTCATTTTTTATGTTCGACAAGTAACATATTCTACANATTCTATAATAATTAAATCAAATTCGTTCGTATTAGTTTCTGTCGAAGAATACAAATGTATTTAAAAAAGTTTCATTATTTCTTTTGTATAACAACTATTTTATATTATCGTAGTCGTTCTCTTTGCCTTACTTAATAAAATATGTATACAAAAAACTAAAAAAGATCATGAGTTTATTGCTAAACATTTTTTGAATAAAAAGAACAGAAATAAACGAAAATCAAAATAATGGAATTATTTTTTATAGTGGATTTTTTTCTGGCTAATAAAAATGTATAGACCCGGACCCGGATCCGGACCCGTTGAATTCAAAATTTTCAGACCCGGACCCGGCCAGATCCGGGTCGGACACGAACTGGCAGATCCCGCCGGAATCTGCCAGTTCGTGGAGAGCATCTGAGTGTGAAAGATCATTTGACGGATTCTGACGTTCTGGTAGAATTGCAAAACATTGTGCCAGAGCATCTGAGTGTGAAACAGAATACAGTGCATTTCTGTTGACTTCTGGTAGTCAAACGGACGATTCAAAGACGATCTTATGCAAAACTGCCAGAACTCATCCAGAATACACTATATTCTCTTTGACACTCAGATGGTCAGAACTGCAGATTCTGCTGCATTCTGGTGTGGTTTTGGCAGAAACTGGTGCAGTTCTACCAGAAGTCAACCAGAATGCACTAAATTCTCTTTCACATTCAAGAGGTCAATTGTATTTAATCGTTTCTTTCATGTATTATTCGACAAATAATTTGAATTATTATACTCAACTACTTTGAGTTCAACATAATCACAATAAATGGCATACGCCCAATAAGGTGTCATGTGTAACCTTATAGAAAAATAGACTGTTGATGTTTCGAAAACAACAAACGTGCCAATTGATTGTAAACACCAGCCGTTTTTTTTTTCCATTTCTGGAAGCCATTTAGATTTACCTCTTCGAGGTGAATAAAATGTTTTACAACATGGTGTACCAAAATCCGGATTAGCAAAACAATGAGATAGTGTACCCCATTTCTCAGTACTATCTGATATTTTAACAACTTTTAACCTCCAAATAATTTCATAGTTACCTGGTATTATTGAATAAAATGCACCTCTTAATCTTTGGTGATCATTGAAACGAATACAATAACCGTTAAGGCATGTTGGATCTTGCTCGATTTGACTCGGATGTGTAAGATCGTCGAATAAAAACATATCAGTTACAGACATGCGTTTACGATCGATTAGATAAAAGTACATGAGTTTCGCCAGAGGAATGTGTTGTCGTAAATCATTATTCAAATATTCATTTTTAAAACTAACATAATGAATATTCATTCTAACATCGGTGATTGTTGTTACCATTTTCCATCTCAATCGGATCTCTTCATCGACACCACTAAAATATTTTGATTGCAAATATGCATCGACGTTTGCCAATGTTAATTCACTAAAACAACTATATGACTCTTTTTGTTTTGCTTTTTGAACATAGGCTGATATTTGTGATTTATCATTTTTATCGTTTGTGAATATCTCTTCCATGTAACGACAACATAATATATTTCCAAATCGAACGTACATGAGATGACACCAAAACTCATGGGTATTTATAAGAAAATAGAACCGTTTACACGTTAACGATAAATTCGTAACGCTTGAAACATTCAGATATTCACATATCGAATATAATATTGATTCAGGAATTGAGTGTACACTCATTATTCACTCAAAAAACATTTTTTACAATATTTCAAATTCAACGTGTAACAACAAATCTGAAACTATGAAACAAATGATATGTAAAGATGAATACAAAACTTGATTCCATAGAGAATCTTGGTAATAAATACAGAACATAGCGAAGATGGATCACAATGATTGTTAAGCTTTCCACTAAGATATAACAAAAGTTAGGAATATTTCGTTTACTGATGCAGAGACCTCACATATACCATAGGTAGAAGACTTAGTATCCTTTAGTTTCATCCACACAAGCAACGGTTTGAGTTTCTCATCTCAACCTTCAAAAATATTAATTTTTTGATTGATTTTGATGATTATTGGATATAAGTGCATCCGTAAACATTGAGTTTGTAGAAGGTGGATGCAACCACATTCTACGCGCATGTAGTAAAATGTTATTCCGTTAAGACAAAAAATCTTTTCTTTTGTTTTATTTTAGAGAAAATCTGATACATGTATATACAGAACAAAATGAAGTTTCGTTTATTATGCGATTTATCGCAAAATAAAGTCGAACTACATTATACATGCATCATCGATTACATGAAAAAGAAAGAAATTTCAAACGATCAGTAAAGAGGGCACATTCTATATGTATGTGAATGAGAGAAAAGGAAAACAGTAAACATCAGAAAAAATTTGAAGCAAAAAGCCCCAAAACTTATTTTCAGCGTCGATCCCAACAAGACTTACGAGGGAAGATCCCTAACTGTCCAATCACTTTTGAGCTGAACCTAAGTGGACAATAGGTAATCGAGGGTGCTGAATCCGAATATCGCAATCGTTTGGGCTGACGTTGGGTTTCTGAACCGGTTTTGCGAAAACCAGTTTTTCAAAAACTCGAAAAGATAACCAAAACCTTTCTTAATAAGGCCTGATTGTAGCCTGCAGATTTCTGATTAAAATGATACCTTTACCAGCTCTACATGACTTTTCTTTGCAAAGTTATAGAATTTACAAGGAAAGCTCTTAATCTTGCTCAAAGCTACAGAAATAAAGAAAAAATTAATTTAGAGCTTTTCTTGTAAATTCTATACTTTGCAAAGAAAAGTCATGTAGAGCTGGTAAAGGTATCATTTTAATCAGAAATCTGCAGGCTACAATCAGGCCTTATTAAGAAAGGTTTTGGTTATCTTTTCGAGTTTTTGAAAAACTGGTTTTCGCAAAACCGGTTCAAAAACCCAACGTCAGCCCAAACGATTGCGATATTCGGATTCAGCACCCTCGATTACCTATTGTCCACTTAGGTTCAGCTCAAAAGTGATTGGACAGTTGGGGACCTTGCCTCGTTAGTGGTTACGTAATCATTAGCTCGATCACATAATCAAGATATGCCCCTTAGCCGAACACTTATTCTTCTACAGTAATGATAAGTTATGTGTTCAAATTAAAAGTAATCATTTTATTGTCTTCTCTAAATATGATTCAGTCCCTTCTTATCATCCATTATTTAAAATAATTCTGGAGGCATTCATAGTAGCATCTTCTATAACATTCCTAATTTCTTTCCGTTTCATCCCTTCATCTAGCAATCTTTTTTATTAATCCTTGATTGCGTGTGTATATATGCATTTTTTTCTCCTTTGCCAGTTGTACTGTATCGGATAAAGCTCATAATTCAATTATGACAACGTTACTTCTTAGACCATTCGGTAAAACATAGAATAAGACAGGAAATGCAAATTCTGAAATTAAACGTTTCAGACTACAGGATGACACGCTTAGCAAAAAAATCAATTCTGCATAAAAATCGACGATGAAATCACCTTCAAAAATGATGAAATGTAGTCAACTGGTTAAATAAAAAAATATTATCAGTTTTTGTCAAACACAGATACTTCTTTTTTATTTACCTTTACTAAAACGGCAATCAACATTCCATTGTTGATTACTTTTCTTGGGAGTAACGGACTTGAATCCAATTGACAGTAATTGATGGAGACTGTTTCGGCTATTAAAACATACATCAGCAGCCACGTGTTTGATATATTTAGCCACATGATGTCTTTACCTGCTCTTGGACATGTTTTTATCAATATGAACTAATAATCATGCTATAAATTAATAATCGTGAGCTAAAACACAAACAACAGTATGTTGTAACTCATCTTACAAACTGCCTGCTAACAATAAGCTAATTCTCTTACTAGAAGAAAGGGTTCATCGCAAAAACTAATGTATGATTGTGACTGACTGGCTGGCTATCCTTGCAATTTGTTTATTTGATCATTAATAAACCAACAGAAAAATAGACAGAGCGATGTCAGTGGCTGATCGAAACAGAAAAAAAAGTTCGATCAGCCACTGACATCGGTAACATGACTGAATACATTTTTTTTCTCAATACAGCCATAGCAAATAAGTAGACTAGCGAATGTAAGATTTCTTTCACATTGTACGTCTTTGTTTCTTTTTTTTTGTCTATGCTTTAGACAGAAAAGAGAAGAAGAAAAAGTATAGAGAAGGAAATTTTCACTGTTTTTATTTTAAACAACGGCGAACATTACGCATTTCGCTTGATGACTAAAAAAGTTTCAGTAAAATATTGCGCATTTGGCATGCGTTTATTCATTTCTCATATAGAATATAACAGGGACAGAATATTCACATAGAACTAAACTAAAACGAAAGAGGGTATTTTAGTTTAGTTTGTTTGGGCTTTAGTTCATGATAAAGTTTTTAATATTTCACGTCAACATACATGATTCAGAATGATTCTAGAGTACGATAGTCTTTAAAACAATCCACAACTCTACATCACATCCAGTACATTCATACGAAGTATCTCTTCTCGACTTGGCTCTCCTCACCGTATGCGCTTACGCGTAACATTTTCTTTTTGGTTCACATACCATTATTAAGCTTAAATAAGTTAAATGTGTTGAAAACGAGAGCTTTCCAGAAAACCCATAGAAGAACATGTTGGAAATCTCTGAGCAAAAACAGGTCATTTTCTTTTTTCGATGATCTATTTCTGATATAAATTTCACATCGACTTCCCGGGTATCTAAGGATATGAAAAAGGACGGCTCTTAAGCATATTACACGGAACCAAATATAGAATCTTGTTTGCCGTGTTTTTGCCGTCTGCTTTATTGAACGTTATTAATTATACAGTCTGTAGAGTTTGTTTTGACCTATGAATGATCGAAGAGATAATTCTTTTTACACATGATGCTCGTTGGCACATAGTGCTACCAACCACGCGTTCCTGAACTAACGCTGAAAGCATCTCATCGGACATGAGAGTCAATAGAAAATATAACAAACAATATTCCACGTGAAAAATCACAAATATGAGATGTTGACATAATGCAAGAATGTTTTGATAATACAAGTAAAGAAATGATGAATGAGATAAATGGTTTGCTTTATCAGGCTGTAAATAAAAGAAATTCACATTTAATAAAAGCAGAGAGATACTGCTGTCGTCTCAGGCACGTTTTTATCGTAAAACTTATAATTCCCAAGATTCTTGAAATTCGAAGTCGAATTTCCTGAATTCTGGAAAATCGAGGTCGAATTTCCAAGTTTCTTGTAAATTCGATTTTCTAGAATCTAGAAAATCCTCAGGGAATTATATCTTCTGCATTGGAATGTTTCTCCTCCGTGCTCATTTAGCTTCAATTCATCTTTCACTCAGAAAATATCAACAATTCATGACTAATTTTATTGTAGACTTGTTTCTTTTGAAATAAACAAGCAATAAAAAGTCAATTCAAGAACTGAATAAACAAGAAGCACCATTTATGTGGTTTCAACTATTAATCGAAATATTACTTACATGCAGACATTGGATAGTCCTAACAAAGAATTAATCGCCGAGTGTCGATTACAATATGTAGATAACACAAGCGAATTAAATAAAACTGATGAGTTTGATAAAGAATACACGCCAGACAAAGCTGTCGGATGATATACACGATACTCATTCATCTATAGAATGTTAAATAAGGCTCTAAGAATTCGCGACATTGATATCCTAATGAAATTTCGCTTTTTTATTAGAGATTTAAATAACCAGTTGAAAGAACTGCATTCAGAATTCATTCAACCCTTCCTATCTGTATCGAAAAATATATTTGTAGAAAATATATCAAAACAGGACGAACAGTTTAGAGAACCACAGGTTTTAACTGTATATCGAGGGCAGGCTCTTTCCATTGATGAATTAGAAAACATGCGAGACTACGTCGATGGTCTTTTGTCAGTGAACAGTTTCTGGTCAACAACAACTGATAGGGAATTAGCATTTGTCTTCGCCGACCAAGGGTTTCATCGTTCTAATATAGCTTCTATTCTATTCGAAATTGACATTGATATTGAAAAATGCACAAAACCGTTTGTCAATATTAAAGATTTAAGTTACGTTCATGA